CCCGTACCACTTTTTTTTTTTTTTTCTTTTGTTGTTCTTTTATAGTTTATGTACCCATTTAATTATTTCGCGCTCTCTCTCCCTTTAATTGTATTTGTGTTTTTTTTTTTTGTCTCTATAAACATTCTCAACACAATTGTTACACACACACTTCACATAAATGCATGTATATCCTACTTTGTGTTCTACATGTTTTGTATCAATGGTATCGTCTAAGTATGTATTGTCTTATGTACCGCTTTAAAAACTACAAGAAGCAAATGACCTTCCTTTTTAACTGCTTTTACATTGTAAATGCATAATTATATCTTTAAGTTCATCTCAGACCACTGTTATTTTGCTATAAATGGAATACTATTTTAGTTTTTGTCTGCAGTTTGAATTAGTTTTTTATTTTAATATTTTCTTTTTTATTGTAATTTTTGTTTTTAGTGATTTTTGTCATATTCTTTTTTTTATATATATATAGTTATTATTTTTTATTTCAGGTTTAGTTTGAGTTATTTTAGTACATCAAGTAAAACTAAATAAAATCAAGAAATATTTCTACTAACACTTTAGATTATGGAACACTTATTTTCCCCTGAATAAACTCCTAACTTGCTGCTTATTTGTAGTAAGTAGTTGTTGTTGTAGTTATGTTTAGGTATTGGGTCGAGTTGAGGAATCTAGAATATGGTCATGTATTAATATGTGCTTTATAATTACTAATAAACAGCCACTATGCTATACATATGCATGCTAATGAGCAGCTAGTTAATAGTGAATAGCGTTCCGTAATGTAAACCTTTAACATATTTCCATGGAAACTAGCTGGATTAAAATAAGTATGTTTTTTTTTTTGTTAATATTTATTTGATTTCAAGTAACAAAAAACATGTTTTAGTTAACTCTAATAACCCTGTCTCAGACTCAGATCCATGTCTAAACTGGCAGCTTTTGTGCATTTCAAACCATATGCATGTGCTGTCTCTTTCCGTTTATATCCCTCGTTGTGTCTTTGATTTCAGGCATCCGCATTTGCACAGCATGGTGATCCGCAGCTATCTGTTGATACAGCAGTACACAGAGGCCCTGATGGCCCTCACAGCGGCCCCGTCGCTGCGGGATCACGTGACCCCTCAGACCCTCGCCATGGTGGAGGATCTGCTGAGCGTGCCGGGCCGCAGCAGGCACGGGTGCGGACACATGCTGCTGGTGCGTGTGCCCTCGCTGCAGCTGGCGCGGCTGGCGCAGGAGCGGCTGGAGGAGGCCCGGGATAAGCTGGGTCTACAGTACCGCTTCGCTGTGCTGCTGGGAAGCCCTGCTGCTGAGATCAGCCTGCCGGTTCACTTCTGTGCGCGTCTGCGGGTACGAACCAGATCCCCTCATGAATATGGGCTACTTAAAATCACTAGAATAAGGCTGGAATAACCCATCTGTGCATTTCAGGCTTGGAGAGGCTGTAAGAATGAAGAATGGGTCCCACATACATATGAAGATCTGGAAGGACTTCCGTGCATCGTCATCCTCACAGGAAAAGATCCTCTAGGAGAGACCTTCCCAAGGTACTCCATGTGATGTTGTTCTTTATATATAGCCATTGAGAGCCTTTTTTCTCAGAAAATGATGTATGGTCAAAATAACAAATGTTTTCATTTGTTGTGATTGAAAATCAGGGTTATTTAACTCTTCTGAAGTTAAAACATTGGTATTGTTTTGTCTAAAAATGAATATAAGCATGGCATCTTTTTTTTTTTACCAATTGTCATTTTATTCAAAAAATGTTCTAAAGGACATTTTTATTTAAAATTTTGAAGAAATGCCATTAGTAGTTTACAGAATAAAACAAAAATTATGTTTAACTGAAACACAACTATAACTACAAGCCGTTATTTATTAATAATTTATGAAATTCAAATAAGTTTTTCCAGCTATATATATATCACAAAAATAAATTACATTTTAATTTGTATTCAAATAGAAAACATTTACTTTAAATTGTTATAATATTTCACAATATTACTATTTTTACTGTATTTTTGATCAAATAAATGCAGCCTTGGTTAGCAATTTCAACAGTGGAGTATATATATATATTTTTTTTTTTTCTGGTCAAATTATTTATATTTTAATTTAAATTATTTCGTTTTTATTTATTCATGAAATGTGTGTAAAATAAATTAAAACAAATATTTGTTAACTACAAATATTAATATGTTATCATTTTCTGTTAATGTGAAAGTATTATTTATTTTTAGATTTAACAATATTAATAATAATGTATTGCCTTTAATGACAAACCTCTACTTGAAATCAAACCTGAAGTTAAACATGAAATCTTCAGGCTTACACTATATTTCAATATAAGACATAAGTTAATTATCTGACATTATATAATGGCCTTGATAAATAAAAATACTGCACAGTGACTTCTAGTCTTTTGGTTTCCTCTTTATTTTGTTAAAAAGAGCACCACCTTGTGGTTACTACAGTTGTTACAGCTACAGTTCTAAAATCTTCCCCATGTACATATATTGTTTGAACTGTCCAGTAGCATTATTTCAATACAGTTCATGTTCATCTTTTTGAAAGACTATGCACCATCCAAAAGATCAAATAAAATCTGTTGGACAAACGAAAATTGACAGTATTTTTGAATTTCTGAAGGGACACATGAAGACTGAGTGTGTTTGCGTGTGATTTTATGCAGGTCGCTGAAGTACTGTGACTTGCGGCTGATCGACTCCAGCTACCTGATGCGTACGGCACTGGAACAGGAAGTGGGTTTGGCCTGCTCGTACGTGACACGCAGAGTAATACCCGAGACGAAAACGCCAGCGGGCAGAGAAGAGAGACCGACAGATGACAAGAGAGGCTCGGGAGAAACAGCAGACCACGACGAGCTCCAGATGGAGCTGGAGAGACCACCCAGCAATGCCAGCGCTGCCACCAGGACCTCTGGTGAGTAGGGCTGTCAAAAAAAAAATCGAATTCCGAATTTTCGCGCGAATTTAAAATAAAAATCCATATTTGAATGCAAAAACGTTGCATTCGAATTTTAGGTGTGCGTTAAGGAGGCAGCCTTATCAGTGGCGCACGAGATGCGATGACGATGTAAGTGTCGTTGCATTATAATGTTTTTGTTAACCTATCCACTTGAAGCCACTAGATTGATAGTTGCTAATGACAAATATTGCGGGAAAAGAGAACATCAATGTAGAGAAGATCTTGTTTACATCAAAACTGAAACCAAGCCGTTCACACAGAACGCATATTTCGCACATTTTCTAGAGGGACATCTATCACCATTGCACTCGCATCTCGCACAAAGGAGCCGCATGTTTAGAAAGCCATGTAAAATTAATGCAAGTTTAACTTTGAAAAAAACATATATTGAGACTTTATGGCGGTTAAAAGCTTTTCTTCACCCTAACTGAAATGATGCATTTTAAATTCGAATATAATTCGAATTTTGATAATATTTAAGTACAAAATTCGAATTTAGTTTTTCAGCCATTTTGACAGCCCTACTGGTGAGGAACCAGGCCCGGTTCTACGGGGGTGCTCAAACCAAATCAAAAGCACCCTCAGTTAAAGCTGTATGAATGGCTTTTTATTGCAGATTTGGCAAACTATCCAGTGCGTTATGATTTGCGCTCTGGAGATCGATTTCTATTTCAACATGTTTTTTGCAGCGTTTAGCAAAGTAGCTAATCACAGACATATCTGTTGATTTCTTGAATCAGAGGCTGTTTAAGTTAGAATCCACTCACTGCTCAGATCGCCAGAGTTTTTGTTCAGGTATCGTGTTCATCATGAATCATCTCATTATAACAAAGTGTAGACGTGATGTAAATAAGAGATTCGTTGTGCAGCGTAGAGAACTTTATTGATACTAACGTATCTTTGTGAGACTGCGATGAACTAAGATGAGTGACAGCTTTTTAGTGATTATGAACGGTGGTGAGGGACACTGAACACAAGCTGGGCCTGATTCCGGTCTTGTGTTGTCACATGATCCAATATAATTCATCTTAATTATCTTTCAGGCTCCATCACAGAAAACGGCGTCAGTTCTTCAAGTGTACTGGACAAACCGTCCTCACACAGCAACCCGTCCAGCAGCAGAAATATAATGGACTCTTGCTCGTCTCCCGTTCGCTTCAAACAGGAGTGTGACTCCCAGGCTCCCTCGTCCTCGTTCTCCTCTGCCTCCTCTTCCTCCTCCTCTTCCTCCTCTCCGGGAGCTCAGCGGCCGAGCCAGTCCACACAGGCCCCGCGTGAAAGCAGCCGGGCGCAGGTCTTCCCCCGGACGGCGGTGCTGTCCCGGGCGGCGTACGCCCTGCTGGCCCCTGAGGCGCTGGGTCAGCCCAGCTCGGCGTCTCTGCTGCCTCACGCGGATGTGGCCTGGAGCAGCCCGCTCAGACCACCGGTTCCTCACGCTCTCGGAGGGGCAGAGCAGTCCCTGTACTACCGCCAGTGGACCACAGCCAGGCAGCACCACGCAGATTACGAAGGGCCGGCTCTGCCCCATCCCAGAAGACTGCTGCTGAGTGGACCACCACAGGTGAGGAGTAGCTCAATGGTTAAAAGAGAATGTTTTGTTTGTTAAGGCAAGCATCACTGCTGGTGCTGTGTGTGTATCGACGATACAGTGATCAAAAATACAGGTAGAATATATTAAAAAAAAAATAATAATTTTAAAATATTTTATTAAATAGACAAAAACGATATGAAAGACACATTTAAAAAACACAAACATTTTTTTAATATTTATTAGATTAAATATATAAAAATACTGAAAAAATGCATATTTTAAATACAAAATGTATAAAATAAAACAAAAAAGTACAGAATATGTGTAAAATGCATAGTTTACACAATTTACAAAAAATAAATTAAATATACGGAATACAATTAAAATGTTCAAAATATTTTAAAAAGTTAAAAAAATTTTTTAGAAATGTTAAAAAGAATACAGATAAAATACACAAAATATGCAAAAAAAAAAATTTAAATATACAAACAAATGTACAAAATACATACCCGTAGTTCATGCAATGGACAAAAATACAAAAAAATAAATATTAAAAGGGATAGTTAAAAGATACAGAACTATGTATTTAACTATACATAGTTAAAATGCACAAAATATACAAAATATTTAAAAAGTTAAAAGTATTAAAAAAAATAGTTCAAAAGTTAAAATACACAAAATGTGCAAAAATATTTTTTAAATGAAATATGAAAAATAGTTCAAATACACAAAATATACAGTTAAAATACACAAAGTATATAAATGTATTTTGTATAAAAATTTAAAATATAAATAAAATGAAAATGAAAAATAAAGAAATTTGCATTCTATATAATACAATACAAAATATATACATACAAAATAAAATATTTATATAAAAGTAGTTGAAATGTGCAAAAAAACAGAATAATCAAATATACAAAAAGATTTTAAACATTAAGTATTAAAATATTAATAAATAGTTCAAATATACAAAAATACACAATGTCTGTTACTAAGCCACATCCATTTACAATGACCTGTGTTTCATGCTATTTGGTCTCTTCACCACCAAGCATCCAGGGTCTCATTTTCTTTTTTGGTTGAAGGTTGGAAAAACGGGTGCGTATCTGCAGTTTCTGCGAATCCTGTTCCGTATGCTGATTCGCCTGCTGGAGGTGGACGTGTATGATGAAGAAGAGCTGGAGGAGGGTGAGAAAGTGTTCTCCACATTACTTCACCCGATGCTCCTTCCCTTGACCTTTTTTAATGACCTTCAATTGAAATCTCTAGATGTGCAAGACAAATCAAAGGCTCCCCCTGCCAGTGGGCCGCAGTGGCCTGACGTGGAGGACATCCGCAAACTGCCCTTTGACCTCTACCCCAGTGACCCTAAGTTCAGATACGCGAGTCCAGTGTATGCAGACAGGATGCCAAAGACACTGAACGGTAGTAAACTGCTCTTTTAACATTGAGAAATATGGGTTCTGTAGAATCTTTTAAAAAACACTTAAAAAGACATCTTTTTGGACACGCTTTTAATTAACAATATGGTTTGGCTGTTATTGAATTTTGTAGTATTTGTACAGCTGGTGGTATTTAATTAGTTTTGATTTTATTTAATACTTTGTGTGCTATATAAATAAATTTTACTTACTTGCTTACTTACTTTTATTATGGTGTGCCCCGCTTCAGAGCAACATGAAAAGAGCAGGTATGCTTATGTGCTGTTTTGCATCCTCGCATGAAACACAGGGGTTAAAACAGAAAGACTAGAGGCAGAAGGGGAGCTGCCGAAGAGAAACACAGTGTCTGTCAGACTCAGCCTGTTTGCGGCCCACAATGCATTTCACCACTGTGAGCAGTGCCACCATTACAGCGAGCCTGCTCCTGCCGCTCAGGTGAGGACATATGTGATACATTAACACTTACTGACATATTTTTAAATGCTATCATTTCAAAACACCTCAAACATATGTAATAGCATGTCTAGACAGGTATATGGCTGACAGGTAAGATGTTCTGTGTGTGTGTGTGTGTGTGTGTGTGTGATTCTAGCTGTCCGACTGCACCTTCCATGCCTTCACGTTCTGCTCATCCATGCTGGGAGAGGAAGTCCAGCTGCACTTTATCATTCCTAAAGCCAAAGAGCCTCATTTTGTGTTCAGCCAGCAGGGCAGTCATTTAGAGAGCATGCGGCTCCCGCTGATCTCAGACAAGGTGAGCGACACACTTATTAATAACAAGCACTAAATGACTTTGGTTAGCCGCTTTAAACATAAATGAAAAATCTGTCCTTATTTACTCACCCTCATGTTGTGTATGCTGTTTTTCCTGTAGAACATAAACAGACAAATGTTGACTAATGGCGCTTTTCCACTGCATGGTACGGCTCGGTACGGTTCACTTTTGGGGGGTTTTCCACTGGGTACAGTACCTGGTACCTGGTACTTTTTTTAGTACCACTTCGGTTTAGATTTAAATCAGCACAGCCAGCGAAGGATCGAACGCAACTGTTTTGAACGAGCGCACCTTTTTTTAACAACCAAAAAGTTTTGTTGTCTGTTGCGGAAGAACAAACGTTCCTCTCATTGATAGCAGAGGAGCGGATCCAGCGAGAGCTTGATGGGGCGACGCGGAATTAAAAAGTTTTTTTTAGGAGTCGTGGTAGTAGAGGCGGCGCAACTATAACGACATGTGAATAATCCCGCCCACTCTAAAGCGGTACTGAATTGCAGTGGAAACGCAAACCGTGCCGTGCCGTACTGAGCCGTACCGAGCCGAGTCGTACCACGCAGTGGAAAAGCGCCATATGTCTGTGGTAAAAAAAAAACAAAAAAAACACTGTAAAAGTAGCATGACTTCCAACAGTTAAATAAGATAAAGAAATATTTTAAGGAAATTAATAATTTTATTCAGAAAGGATGCATTAAAGTGATGAAAAGTGACAGTAAAGGCATTTATAATTGTAAAAAAGATTTCTGTTATATATCAAAGATATATTCAATTTATATATATAAGTGGATTATATATTATATATATAAAGTCCTGTTGGTTGCTGAGTCACCGCCTGTGTTTTTTACATGATGTTTTCTGGTCTTATTGCACGAGTTGTCTTAAAGTGACCGTATTGCTCTGTTTGCTGACTCAGGAATCTGGCATGCTGAAAAGTCCCATCTTCACACCCACTACGGGCCGTCAGGAGCACGGCCTGCTCAACATCTACCACGCCATGGAGGGGGCCGAGCACCTGCACATTTTGGTGGTCAAGCAATATGAAATGCCTCTCTACAGGAAATACTGGCCCAACCACATCCTTCTGGTGCTCCCCGCCATGTTCAACAGCTCCGGAGTGGGTGAGTAATGATGAAGAAGATTGCGTATTCATTATTGTGATTGAAACAACTCAGCACTATTCTAATGGTGTTTCTGTAACAGTAGGTTTTAAGATTGTTCCAAAAATAAGAATAGAGAATGTTGCCTAAATTTACTTTTAGCAATTTATAGTACTTTTAAAGAGCAAATAAAATATTGTAATTGTAATGATTTAGATAAAATAGTTTACTATTTTAATAATGCACGTTTGTTATCAATCAGCCACTGCATGACAGTAATTGTTGGCATCCAGAATGTTTCTGCGATTGATAAAAAAAAAAAAAAAATGGACTTTTTATTTCACAATTCTATCTTTTTTTTTCTTGCAGCGTTTATATCTTACAATTCTGACTTTTTTTCTCAGAATTGTGTGTGATATAAACTCGCAATTGCATGTAATAAAGTTAGAAAGTGTGAGATATGAACTGCAATTGCAGGAAAAAAATTATTGCATGATATAAAAACTCACAATTGCAAGTTAGAGCAAGTCAGAACTGCATTACTTTTTTCTTGCAGTTGCATGCTTATTTCTCACAGTTCTGACTTTTTTCTTGCAGTTGTGAGTATATTGCAGTATATCCTGCAATTTTGACTTCTTTTCTCAGAATTGTGAGATATAAGCTTGGAATTGTACGAAAATGTCAGAATTGTGACTTGTTTCCTCAGAATCAGACTTTGTAACTCAAGCAAGTTTGTCCCGCAATTCTGAGAAAAAAAAATGGATTTGCAAGGGAAAGAAAGTTGCAATTATCTATTTTTTTTTATTATTCAGTGGCGGAAACAAGCTTTCATAGTTGCTCTTGTTGTGACTGATTGTATTGATGTGACGTTTCAGGAGCAGCTCGATTCATGATCAAGGAACTGTCCTACCACAACCTGGAGCTGGAGAGGAACAGGCAAGAGGAACAGGGCGTCAAACGACAGGACGTGTGGCCCTTCATCGTTATGATGGATGACTCCTGCGTCCTGTGGAACGCCCATCAGCCTGGACCCGAGGGCGACAGGTATGTACTGATGGATGGATCCATGTACGGATTTGTTGGAATGTCTTCGTTGTCTAACATCTCTGGATTCTCTCTCTCAGTGAGGCCATGAACGTGTCACTGAAGAGTGTCCTGCAGCACATGGAGGCCACTCCGAAGATCTCTCTGTATGCCATGTGTGGCCTGCGCAAATGGAGCAGTGCTTTGTCTTCTCGAGCTCCCACAAGCCCTTTCTCTCGCTGTCACCTCCACGACCTCGTCATGCTGAACGTCGACCTCACCCAGAACGTCCAGTATGACCTCAACCGGTGAGTGTTTGCACTTTGAGAGGGAAGATCATGTAGTTTTGAGTACTAGCACATACTGTATGTGTGGGTGTTTTATGTCATAAATGATGTACCAGTAACGGTCTAAATGTGTGTGTAGGTTCACATGTGAAGAAGTGGATTTTATCCTGAGGGCAAACAGCAGTGGTCTTCTGCTCTGTCGGTTCAATCACTTCAGCATCATGAAGAAACACATCCCCATCGGAGGACATAAAGACTTCCTCATCAAGCCCAAACTCATGGTGAGCTTCATAATGTCCCTTCAGAGCTGAAAGGCCTGCTTCAAAATGTTTAATTACATCCAAACGCTAATATTAGCTTGTTAGCATGGAGTTAATGGTAACTGCAGTTATATTATACATTCACTAGTGGGCGCTACGAAACCAGTCATATTGATGCTGGCATTTTGAACATTTCATGCATTTTAAATGCAATTCCCTGAACTCTTACCCCTGGTTTCACAGATGAGGCTTAAGCCTAGTCCTAGACTAAAATGTAAGTCTGAGCTGTTTCAACTGAAACAAACTTGCACTGACTCATCTTAAAATATATCAGTGCCAGTGTTTTGTCTTAAGATGCACACCAGTAATGTTTTTTTCTAAGCACGTTTATAAAAAAGTACTTGAATGACGTAATTGCACTATGGCCTAATCTTTAGTCTAAGCCCTGTCTGTGAAACCGGGCCTTAGTGACTTAAACAACTGAGCTTTATATCATCCTAAAATTTACATCCACTTTGTATGTCTGCGTTTGTGCAATTTCTATAATTAAATATAGATATATAAATCAATATAATGTGTAGTATTACACTACCATTCAAAAGTTAGGGGTCAGTAAGGTTTAATTTAAGAAATTAATCATTTTATTCAGCAAGGATGCACTAAATTAAAACAAAAGTGACAGTAAAGACTTTTATGTTGTTAAAAAAAAAAATACTATTTCAAATAAATGCTGCTCTTTTGTACTTCGTATTCATCAAAGATTCCTGAAAAAAAAAACATATTGCAGTTTCCACAAAAATATTAAGCAGCACAACTGTTTTAAACATTGACAATAATCAGAAATGTTTCTTTAGCAGCGAATCGGGATATTAAAATGATTAGATATTTTTGGGATTTGTCACATTTCTGGGACTGTAAAAATATTTTTACAGTTTGTAAAGAACAAGTGTAATTGTAAGAGTCTAACATCTCGAAAACACCCTCTCCCTGCATCTCTTTTGTGCCGCAGAGGATGGAGACCCCGGTGCGTGTGTGTGCGTCTCAGTATGTGTGCGCTCCGGACAGTGAACACACACTGCTGTCCGCGCCGGCTCAGTTCCTGCTGGAGAAGTTTCTGCAGTCCTGTAGCCACCGGCTCTTTCCTCTGGCCCTCGGTAACAGCGCTAACCCCGTGCTGTCCATAGACAGCTACCTCAACCTCGGCCCACAGGTACAAATAAACGATGAGTCTCACACTTCAAGGGATAGTTCACCAAAAAGTAACGTTTTGATTATTTACTCACCTTAATATTACTCCAAACCTGTGTGCTATTATGTGTTTCCTGGAACACAAAAGGAGAATTTTTGAAGAATGTTCATGCAGCTCTTTTCAGAGTATTGACAGTTTATGTGTATTAGTTCAGTTGGAAAAAATTGTTCATGTGTTGTGTTTTCTTTGTGTTTACAGATTCAGACGTGTTACATGAGCTCTCGGCCGCACTCAGTGAATGTGGATCATCAAGGGGTGATGTTCAGTGGGCTGCTGCTCTACTTGTGTGACTCCTTTGTCGTTTCGAGCCTCCTGAAGAAATTCAACTTCCTCAAAGGTGAGGCCGGGTCCCTTACAGCTGGAATACGAAAAAATATTTTATAGAAAAAGAAAAATCCAAAGAACACTCATACTGTCAAAAAGGCAGTCTCTTCTGCTCACCAAGGCTGCATTTATTTGATAAAAAATATAGTAAAAACTCTAATGTTGTGAAATATGATTACAATTTTAAATACCTGTTTTAAAACGTAATTTATTCCTGTGATGCAAAGCTGAATTTTCAGCATCATTACTCCAGACTTCAGAGTCACGTGATCCTTCAGAAATCATTTTAACATGCTGATTTGATGTCTTACTGTCACTTTTAATCAGATTAATGAATCCTTGCTGAATAAAAGTAAAAATCTTACTGATCCCAAACTTTCCCATTTCTATCATCTCAAACAGAAAACCTTGTTTTTATAACTAAAATAGCAAATTCAAATTTCAAAATGGTCAGGACACAGTGTAAGCTTAATGGTCCAAAGTCCCACTCCACATTTTACCGATCTCCTTGCTACGTTTCTGGACCTTGATCGTGTTAGGATCCTTGCTGTCTATGGGAGGGCCAGAGATCTCTCGGAATTCATCAAAAAAATCTTAATTTGTGTTCCGAAGATGAACGGAGGTCTTACGGGTTTAGAACGACATGAGGGTGAGTAATTAATAGAATTTTCATTTTTGGGTGAACTAACCCTTTAAATATGAAAGTTCATTAGAGTCATCAGAACAGTAACAGCACACCTCTCTAAGCACATTGTGGTCCTGTAAGAAGATTTAAATCATCATCATTTCTATCGCTCGTCTTGCAGGCGCCACACTGTGCGTGATCTGTCAGGACCGCAGCTCTTTGCGTCAGACTATTGTGCGTTTGGAGCTGGAGGACGAGTGGCAGTTTCGTCTGCGGGATGAGTTTCAGACGGCTAACTGCAGCGAGGACCGTCCCCTCTACTTCCTCACCGGCCGCCATATCTAATCTCCTCATCTCCATTTCAATTCAACTGCTTGGCTGTTTGTTTTCCAGCATCATAACTCTCCAACACCTGCTTCTGAAGAGAATAAGACTTGAGATTCTCATCACTACCTCAGACGATGTTTGAGGATAGATACTTTGAAGAAATGACAGATACAGATTTTGTGTTTCCCTTTTTATATTTTGGAAAAACTTTGTTTGTTGGTGATTTTGCTTGTCCTAACATGCAAGGACACTGCGAAGGATATGTCCTTCTACATATGATCTCAGGGTTTTTTGTCATGAGACAAAAGGACGTACTACTGTACTGCTATTCTTTCTTTCTTCTTGCTGGCTTTATGTACTGCTCATCATTAATGCAGTCCACCAAAGACTTATAAACTCCTCAATCTGGACGCTTACACAACAGCTCATGATGCTTTTAGGTGTGTAGTCTTGGGAGCATTTCATCGGGCAATGTCATCAAGATTCTATAATCTTTTATCTTGCCAAAGATATTACCTGACGTAATCCAAAAAACATCCCTTGCTCCTCAGAGTTGTCAGTCACCCAAGTTTGGGCGTTGCAATGGACCCACAAGGTTACAAAGTTCACTTACTGATGTCAGCATCCGCTAAAGAAAGCCATTTATGATCTTCTCGATTCCAGCCTGAATGATTGTAAATGCTAGTTGGTACATATCTCAAAAGTGTTAAAGGGATAGTTCACCCAAAAATGAAAATGTGATGTTTATCTGCTTACCCCCAGGGCATCCAAGATGTAGGAGACTTTGTTTCTTCAGTAGAACACAAACGAAGATTTTTAACTCAATCCGTTGCAGTCTGTCAGTCATAGGCCATATTAAGTCTCGGAAACTTTTTATCACGTCTTCATAAATTTTTTTTTCTACTTTTCAAATGTATTATGTCTTTGAGATTTCAAATGTATTACGGCTTTGAGAGTAAAAGACAACATACACAAACAAAACCAAATTAAACCCTGCGGCTCGTGACGATACATTGATGTGTAAAGACACGAAACGATCGGTCTGGGCAAGAAACTGAACAGTATTTATATGGTTTTTTACCTCTGATGCGCTGCAATGTCCGAACTGTCCTCAGCGCGTTCTCGACAGCAGGCGCGTGACGCATCTTCTACTTCTTCTTGCTTTACGGCAGATCACAGACTTATAAGTGCATTACCGCCACCTATCACTCAAATGGACCATTGACACTCCTAATTGAGATTGTAGATAGTGTCAATGGTCCATTTGAGAGATAGGGGGCGGTAATGCACTTATAAGTCTGCGATCCGCCGTAAAGCAAGAAGAAGAAAAAGAAGAAGAAGACGCGTTATGCGCCGGCTGTCGAGAACGCGCTCAGGACAGTTCGGACATTGCGTGAATCAGAGGTAAAAAACTATATAAATACTGTTCAGTTTCTTGCACAGACCGATCGTTTCGTGTCTTTACACATCAATGTATCGTCACGAGCCGAAGGGTATAATTTGGTTTTGTGTATGTTTTTTTGACTCTCAAAGCCATGATTCCCATTCACTTCCATTATATGACTGACAGACTGCAACGGTTTGAGTTAAAAATCTTCGTTTGTGTTCTACTGAAGAAACAAAGTCACCTACATCTTGGATGCCCTGGGGGTAAGCAGATAAACATCACATTTTCATTTTTGGGTGAACTATTCCTTTAAGGTCATGTTGTTTAAAGTTAGCATCGATTAATCATATTCTTCAGTGAAACATTCCCTTTATTGAAGTAGCTGGGGATGTTTTGGAGTTGCACACTGTGAATGCCCTAAGGAACCCTGATGACGATGACACAATCCCAAACTCCAGTTCGGAAGAGACGATTAATATCAGTGAAACTGGAAAGACAATGGCCATTTCATAATGATAGCTACCTATATGGTATGTTGGAGAAGATGAATGTTCTGAATTGTGTCTAGGACTTTTTGGATGTTAAAAGAAAAAGCTTTGTTTACATTTTAAGAAATGCCGATATTAATATATATGACAGACTTTTTGTCACTTTGGATTCTGGCTAGTTTTACTGAAGAGTCACTTTGAGCCGCATGTGTCACGGATCAAATGCGTCCTTTTATTTTTCCACGGCACAAAGAATCTACCTAGGACCCATTAGTTTCTGTTGCGGGTGATTTATTTAAAATGAGAAAAATGGATCCCTTTTTTTGAGGGATTGTTTTATTTATTGAAAAAGCTTCTTGGACTGATAATCATTGAAATATCAGGAATGCATTGCTAGGTCAAGTCCTTGAATTCGTCACCAGAAGCTTTGCACACAGATGATGTATTAGAAATCAACTAATGTAAAGCATACCAAATATTATTATGAACCAACTGGAGTGTTTAGAATAAAATGCATCAGTTCCCATAATGATACTGATTGTAATGATGAAGAAAGCCAAAACCCCACTGGACAACCTTTCGAATGTGTCTCATATGTAGATAATTTGATGTGCACATCAATTATGCAATTTGCTTCTCACAATCTTTGCATCTTTCCTGTCAGCTGTGAATGTCCTGAACATATGTAGCACCGAACCACTTGAAATCGTCTACCTCATGATCTACTGGCCGGCTTTGGTTTAGTAAACATTTGATTTCACAAAAATGTTCTTGTTGCTGTTGAGATAAATGAATGTAATAAAGTGTTATCAACAATTTATGTCGAACTTTCTGAGGTCAAAAATGTAGAAAGCACAGCTAAACACGTGACCTTCTTATATTAATCTTGTTAATTGTCATGTGTATAGCTTTAGCTAATTGTAGCTATAGTGACTTCATGTGCCTGCGTGACTGAAAAGTATTAAAAATGAATCTAGGAATCATTGAATTGTTGGACTTCAAATCAGTAGTGTTAGATTGAGCCATCAAAGGTAACTACCGTATTGTCCCGAATATAAGACGATATTTTTTTCTTGGAAATACATCTGAAAAAACGCGGTCGTCTTATATGTTACAATCATCCGGGTTTAAATAGCGCACAAATTTGGTATATCAAAAAGTGTATATTTTTTTTAATGTGATTGTTGGTACATTTTACCAGTTTTTACCATACTTTCAAAACAAAAATTAAAATAGGAAAAATATGCAATATGAAAATAATTGAAGACAAAATGTGTTTTACTGAAAAAAAAAAAGATTCGGTTTTTAAAAAGCCTTTTTCCAAAAGGTACATCTGGAAAAAGGGGGGGTCGTCTTATAATCAGGGTTGTCTTATATTCGGGCCAATACGGTAAGTAACGAGCTGTTTCATGGATGGTAACTGTAATATTCTTACTGAAATCTTACTAATATTGTTACTGCAAAAAGTAATATTATTACTGTAACTAGTTATTGTACTGTAACTAGTTAACACTGTATATTATGATACTGTACCTTACTGTGTTGTATCTATTGATGATAAGCTGTTCTGACACATTTATAATGCCCTGTTTCCGTAACACAGTCTTATTTGTTAAAACGTAAGACAGTACCCAGATTTGAAGACTACAGTAAGATTTAACTTCTACTGTTAATAAGATTTTGGTAGGCTACTATTAGATGGATAGCCTAAATGTTCTAATTCAGATGGGCTCAGTCGTCAACCGATAATGAACCTCGTATGCAGTCACCCTCTGTCCTCAATATTGCAGGACTCTGGATAAAATCACACCAGGGTTCAACCCAAGAGAAGTGATGAACTTTAACCCTGTTAAAGCAGTGTGACACATTATCAGTCCACTCAGGTTGTCAAGATATCCTCAAGATGACTGCCAAAGGTGAAAGCCTGTGGGTGGTTTTCGAGTGAGGCGCTCGGGTGAAGTGTGAACCACAGAGTCCAAAATAAATCTGGCAGGCGGTGTTTCGATGCTTTGGTACATCCTATTATAGTCAGAAGAGCCCAGATGCCCTACTTACATGCCCAAACACACAAATTCACACAGTACACTTTGGAGGACACTTTGGTAGATCTGAGATGCAGACGTATAATAATAAAAGGCTGGATGTATACAGTAAATGTATCCTGCAGAAGCAAAAAGAATTGAAATTAATTGTTCATTGCAACACAAAAGCACAATGACCTTACCATGCTAAAGTAATGGCACCGGATGGTAACACCGTGGTACTTTGCTTTGTTCATGTACCATGTTTTATGTGTCCAGAAAGCCTTGTATTTCAAAAAGTGCTTGGTATTTCCACTTGTTTTCTTTCGGTGAAACATTATGTTGGTCATAAACGCTCTGAGGTAAACATATATTTTGATAATGTTAATGTCACACTCATCTTCTTGGTAACTACTTCTCCATCTGGCAAGAGGTTTATAATGAGATTATAATTAGTCTATAGCAGACTGCTAGATATGCTATACATTTATGAGTTTAGCAGTCTGCCTTCTAGTCGGGATGAGATTTAAAACAGAAAAGGACTTGGAATGTGGGTCAAAATTCCTCCAAACAATGTCTGTATCGAGCTCAACAGAAGTTTATCGGCACGGACGTAGACATGCGAGTCACATATTTGTGATTTTGAGGCAAGATGCCACATTTGTACTTCATGCATTGGTCATTCTTGAGATTTTGGACTGTATGGCTTTAACATCAAAAAGAAAACATCCAAAAAAGCACTTTATCTATTTTATCCACAATTTGTCAATTTATTCCAATCTACTGTATTTTCTGAAGCGTTTTAATATAGAGGGCTTTGTTCATATATCATTTGTCTGATTTTATACAAACATTTTATTCCAAAGTGTATTGTTTTTGTGGCTGTTAACAGTATTTTCTGATTTATAGAATGATAAAAAGAGTTCCAAAATCCAGTCTGTAATAACCTTAATATTTCCACAAAATAAAACAAGAGTTTTAAACCTGGCTTTATCCAATGTTCAAATGTTTGTTCTGGAAATGAGTTTTTGCATATTTATTTAGCTAATGCCTCATTTGCATATTTAAACATAACATTTTTTACTTTTTTTACTCTTGACCTGGGGTGTCTTGCTTTAAATGATCTTTTTCTACAGCATGACAGGATGAAGTAACTCATTTAGTAATTAATAAGTAATAGTAATAAGTCAATAATTTCATTTTCGTAGATTTTGTACAAATTGTTGACTACATCAAGTCAAGCTCAAATATTCAGCTCTGTTACTCAAGTTATTGTGAGAAAAATGAGTAATCAAATATTTTACTATAAATCATGTTCGGAAATAACTAAAAAGCAATATTGAATCCCAAACTAACTATTCTCTACAGAGTCGCAGATTAATTTAGAAAAATATCAACCCTGTTACTCTTTTTTTTTAACCTTTAGTCTAGGACTTCGTGAAAATGTTTATTGAGTTTTAAAGGTGATTTAAAGTTTGTAGCTGGAAAATAACAAATCACATAAATTAGGATTTTAGGTTTCTGTGTCCCAAATTGTGGTAACAGAGTTAAAAGTATGCAAATTTATTAAATAAATAAATAAAACATTTCATTTGACTTCCTTTTGAATTTTTTTCCTAGCGGTTAAAAAATAATAAAAATGGACCTGCAAGGTCTGTTTTATACTGTATTCATGGAAAATGCATTTTATTCGGCTATTTGATATTTGACTGTGAGATTCAGATTAC